GGGATCTGCTCTTAAATTGTCTGAAACTCAAACAGTTGAAACAGGTTTATACTAGCAGCTCTGCATTTCTTCCCTTGAGCAGATGGATGGGAAAGTGCTAGTATCAGTGAGGAGGATGACGGTGAGGATGGAGAGTGGATTGATGTGCACCACTCTTCAGATGAGGAACAGCAAGAAGTGGTGAGTTTCAAGTGCCTTCTACCCTAAATAGAAATGGGACTTGTTATAGCAGTCCAGATTCTCTTGCTCAGTACTTTCATGTGACTGCTTTAAACTAACTACGGAGATTAATTTGACCAGAATCATTGAGGTGAAGTATACTTGTGCACCTGTGCTGAAGTGTTTATTGTCAGGATGAAGGGTGAAAGCTGGGGAATTCTGTTCCATTGCCAAGCTATAATGTTTGCATGGTGAGTGCTTTTATCTGCTTTGAAATATTAAGAAATTGAGGTACTGCTTTCTTCTAATACCACATGTAGGGTATAAGTCCTAACAACTGCTTAAATCCTTTCCAAGCATAAGTTATGTAGATGTCTACATAATATCTCATGTAGATATTTGGAAGGCAAGGGTCATTAATTATAGCATAGAACTTGTTTGCAAAGGTCAGGATGATCTTTTTTTCTTATTTTAAAAGGCAGAAAAGATCAAAAGCATGCCCATGGAGGAACGAAAAGCTAAAGCTGCAGCAATCAGTACAAGTAGGTTGCTAACTCAGGAAGATTTCCACAGAATACGTCTTGCCCAGCTCTCCAGAGAAATCAATTCTGCACCAGGCAAAGCTGCAAAGAGGAAAAATATTGAAATAGATGATGAAGAGGAGAGCAGGTAGGATATAAAATGCTAATGAGTGCTTTCTTTCACCTGGAGTCTGGTGAGGTAACTTCTGATGCCAGCAGATGTAGGACTTGGTCATTCATGGCTGGTGACAGGTGACAAACAGCCACACAGCCTCAAATGGATCCTGGCCTGAGGAATTCATTTAAACCCATAAGAAAAAGCAAGAGGTTCTGATTGAAGCAGTAGGACTAGTTTTCTTGTTCAGACCAATGGGTGTGTTGTTATTCTAGCAGTGGTTCCAAGCTTATATCTCCAGATTCTTAAATGTTGTGGTTCAAGCTGGTCTTGAAAAACAGTATTGAAAGTGTTTTATAGGGGTTGTCCTAAAAATGAGGGTTAGCCTGAGAGAAAGAACAATAAGTGCTTTTGTGAGTGAGTATAGCAGGACAATGGCATAAGAGGTGAGTGAAAGACAAAAGTCAGGAGAGCATTTTGTTTTTCTGGTCAGAAGATGCTTTGTGTATGATGATTGGATTTGTTGGATTTTTGTGTATGTAGAGGAGAGTTGCTTTCACTCAGAGATATTGAACATCTCCATAAGAAGCCAAAGTCAGACAAGGAGACAAGACTGGCAACTGCAATGGTGAGGAACTTGGCTATTTCATATCCTCTTTTAGACTTCTTAAAGGGCTGTGGGTTTTATCTGTTCTGAAATAAGGAAGCGGAGCTGCCATCTGTGTTCTGATTAATTTTTTTTAATGTTGCACCTTGGCTGTAACAGAGAAACAATCTCTTGCTGTTAAATATAGGCACCTCCAATTTTCACTGCTACTTAATACAGCCAGGATGGAGGGATATTGAATCCAGATTTATAATTGCTACCCTACAGTCTAGCAGCTTATGTTAACTAGTGAAAAACAAATGACTGTTATATTGTGTTACCTATTCTAGGCTGGAAAAACAGATAGAAAAGAATTTGTGAAAAAGAAAAAAAGATTGAATCCCTTTGCCAGCTCAACCAATAAAGAAAAGAAAAAGCAGAAGAACTTCATGATGATGAGATACAGCCATAATGTCCGGACCAAAAATAAGCGTTCTTTCAGGGAAAAACAGGTAATATTAAATATATACATCAAAAGCAGGGATCCATGTGCTTAAAACAATCTCCATTGTAGTTTTGTGTGTTTGTTTTGTTTTTTTTTCTTTGAGATTACAATGATTCTTAAACTTGGTTTGCTGTTTCTAAAGAGCCATCTTGAATGGTTTCAGTACTTGTTCCGGATTTAATGTTTTGAGTTTCAGTGCATCAGCTAAACAGTGAAAGGCAGGGCTCTTTCATACTTAGACTACAGTACCTGTTGACTGTGATTTGTAATACCAGTTAAGAGAGGGTTGGAGTAATGTAGTTCTAATATACTATGTTCTACTGCCCTCCTTAGTGGTAGAATAAAATGGAATGTTCTTTTAGTCTAGAGCTAAATCTTCTTACCAGCTAAAACATATCTAATGTATCGCTTCAGAGAGATTTTGTTGTTCATTGCACTCTTTCTTCTCACCCTTGTAAAGCAGCTTCATAATAATCTTTCCACAAATGTCTGTTAATTCCACTTACCTTTCAGCTGGACTGAAGTTTCTTCTGGTCCCTTTGTGCTGAATTAATCAGTGGAACAAGTTTGTTACTCTGTCCTCTTCCTAATTATATAGGATGTTAAATGACATACTGATGCATTGATGAAAGATGTTTTTTCTTTTAAGCCAAACTCACTCCTGAAATGTAAAGTTTAACCAAGCAGCTACAGCGTTTCTGCCACTGTATCTGTGTTAGCACTTGCAAGTTATTGTTCCCAGTTTTAGCTGAAAAATTATTGGTGTTTCTTTGAGGTTGAACAAATGATTTTTCCTTGGTAATACACATTGTTATTGAAAATAGGTTAGTGAAACTTATACAAAAACATCTGCTTAATTCTAAGCACAACCCAAAGTTCTTAACTTTACAGCTAAAAATATTGTTAAACTCCTATTTCCTGTAGGTATTTGTGGAAAAATTTTCGTTTGCATTCTGGTATCTTACTACTTTCCAGTCCTCGCATCAAATTTGTGTTGTTTACCTTCAGAGATAAAACAGTGGCTTTTGAGCTTGGGTGTAAATAGTCATGAAACTGCAGTAAGCAAGAGCTGAGTGTGACTAACTTGCTTGTCTATGATCCACTGGTTCCTCAATGCTGTTACAGTTACAGTGTTACTGCACCTGAGTCAGATGGTTTAAAGCTAATTCAGGTTCGCCTTGCAGGGCCACCTCACCTGTTATATGTAAGCTGCTTTAGATGTGTTTTATAGCACAGATGTTGCAAGCTGTTAGCTATACCTTTCTCTTAGAAAATCTGGTTTATTTATCAAATTCTCTACGCATAGTTTTAATCTGTATAATTTTAAATTCTGATCTTATCTACAAGTGTACCAATGGGATATGTGTGAGGGATGTATTGGGAAGGATTGTTGGTGTAGTAGTGTCCTTACTTATAGTTACAGGTGTGAGAGTTTGAAATACCTGAATAATCTTCTCTTGTTTCATGTTCCAGCTGGCTCTTAGAGATGCACTTCTGAGGAAGAAGAAGCAGCTGCTGAAATAAAACAGTAAAGGAATAGTTATCCTTGAAGAAACAACTCTAGAAATACTTTTCTCCTCTCTCAAAGAAGTAGGGGGGGAAAAAAAATAACTGAATTGCCTTGTGGATTCATTTTGATACCTCTCTATTCTGTTCAGAATTAGAAATTGAACGCTGCCAATTTGGATATTGCATCTATAGGACACTGAGGAGGCCTTAATCCTCGTAGGATTTTAATTTTTAATCACCTTTTCTAGAGTGCTTTACCTTTTTACTGAATATAATTTATTTACAGCTGTTTTGTGTAAGTATGAATTAAAACATACAATTTTATTATAAAAATATTTTACTTGATTAAATAAATGAAGAGGTAATTGGAAGGAAAACGAATATTCCAGCTCACACAGGCAATGTGTATGCCTGACTTACGGGTGTGATTTCATAGACCTAGTAAGCCATTTCCAAAGTGGTTGTTTTCTTACTCTTCTGTTCATAATAAAACCAAGTTAAGGAGAAGAACTGCTTTACTATAGTGTATGGGGGGGGGGAAAAAAAGAATGCAGTTAATATAGAAGGAGGCTTTCACATTCTCATTTAAACAGAAGTATCACATGGAGGCAAGATAAGGTATCTTATTTTCCTTTATCACTACATCATGTGGTGGGAGTTGTTCTTGTTTGGTTGTTTTTTTTTGTTTTTCTTTTTTTTGGAGTGTGTATGGGAACAACATTGATCAGTGGGTTCTTTACCTTGATGTAAAGGTTGAGCTCCTGCTTCAGCCTTAGCTTTGGCTGGGAATGCTACTGGCTGTTCTGTCGCCCACCTATTTCCATGATAACTGAGTTACTTGTACTACCCTTTGTGAAGCTCTGCTCCCCTTAGTGGGGAGAAGTGTCATGCATGGTGTAATAGAGAAGCAGTTGGGGTGGTGGTTTCGTTGTGGTTTTTTTTTTCCTTTGTTAGGAAAAATATATTTAATCCCATACCAGAATTTGGCAAAGGTGTTTATATTAAACACCCAGTTGTATCAATTTGAATTCTTATGCATTGTTATTGTGGTTATTTTTTATTTTCATTGTCCTACCTTGCTTTACCCTAGAGCATGGAAGCTAATGGAGGGTCCAGGCTGCTGGTGGAGATATAAAGAGGAAGGAACTTATTGCAGTTGGTGGCTGGAGACCACAGCCAGGGAAGAATAGGGGATGAAATTGCACAGTTGTAGGAAATCCCCTTCTCTCTGTTCACTGAAAGTTCATTTAGAAGTATTTTGTTTTCGAGGCTGGAAGAAGCATTTCTTCCCTGCAGGTGTTTTATTTCAGCTGAGCCGGGGCCTCTAGCAGCTGTGTCCAGTTTCTCAACTTCTCTCACTGAAACATGAGGGAGTCAGGGAATTGAAATTGATGCTTCCATCTCCTCTCGCTTCCTCTGTTATTTTTCCATACGCTGCCCGCAGTGTATAACATCCTTCCTGATGTGCCCGTGAGCTGGGGGCGGGCGGGAAGGGGCTGTGAGGGGCTTTCCCCGCGGGAGGCAACCATTGTGCTCCGCGGCGCCATCTCCTGGCCCTTCCCCCTGAGCCGCCCCTCAGGGGCGTGAGGCGGCCGTCGTGGCTCGGGTCCCGGCTCGCACGGCCGTGCCCTCCGGCGGCCGCGGCGAAAGAGATGCGGCGGGGAGCTCTGCGAGGGCTGCTGCTGGCGGCGGCGCTGTGCGGGGCGGCGGCCCGGCCCGCGGCGGCCCCGCTGCTGTGTAACGTGAGCCTGGACAGCCCGGCCGAGGAGCGGTGGCTGCCGGTGCTGCGGCACTTCGAGCCCGCCTTCCTGCGCGCGGCCGTCGCCCGGGTCATCGAGTGAGTGCGGGGCGGAGTGGGGCGGCCGGGCGGCTGCTGGGCGCCTCCGGGCGGTGGAGAGGTTGCCCGCGGTGTTGTGCCGCGGGCTCTCAGTGCGACGTAAGTAGCAGACCTCGTTCTCGCTCTCGGCTCGCTAACGCCTTGAAGCGTGTTTTGCAGCGAAGCCGTACCGAAATGGTTCCACGACGTCATTCGTCCGATAGCGGCGGAGCTGGAATCCTTCATGCCGCAGCCCTTTGCTGGCGAAATTCGAGGGCTGTGCGAGGCTTTGGGGGTCAGTCTGGGCGACGGAGTGCTGCTCAACTTCGCCTACGAATCTACGGCGTAAGCAGCGGATAGTAGTGGGGCCTGACGTGCTGCGCGGGTTCGTTTCGGTTCAGTGTAGGAGCCCACGTGAAAGGGCAGCTGGGGACGGGGCAGATAAATTGCGCTCGGCTGGGGCGCCGTTTCGTGCGTCCAGACGGAGGCGGGCTGTGCGCGGGTCGGGACGAGGCGCAGAGCCTTGCGGCCGCTCCGCTGCCTGTTGTACGCCGGCTCGCGGTGCTTCGGCGGACAGGCAGCGTTGTGAGCATGATGAGGCGCGTGATATTTTGACTTCCTCAGCTCTATCAGTACTCGAGAGTAAACATCAACCACGATCCAACTGTCGGTCTGCCATTAGATATATATATATTTACCATTAGTATTTTAACAGACAGTGCTGTGCATCACCAGGATGACAAACTTACAACTCCCGAGAAAAGGAGTTTTGAATTCCCTGCTAATTCCATCATAGAACCATGGAAGATCTGAGTTCAAAGGGATCCGTGAAGGTCACAGAACCGTGGCACGGTTTGGGCTGGAAGGGATCTCGATGCCCACCCAGTTCCACCCCCAAGCTGTGGGCTGGTGGCCCCCACCAGATCAGACTGCCCAGCATTGTAACACCTGACCTGGAGGGGATGGGATTTTGACATTCTGAGCCACGTGGGATGTCCTAAGTTAAATACTGTACTGTTTTACTGTGTTAGACTTTTTGGGAAAGGTCTTCACTTCGTGGGTGCTGTACTCAGTTACTGTAGCTTAGTTACTCCTGAAAACCTGAGCAAGTTCAGCCAGACCAGAACATTGAAATTGTTGTCATACTTTTTCTTAAAATCCTTCTTTCACTTTTTTGTCCTTTAAGGTTTTGCACAAGTATTATCGCTCAGGATGATAAAGGAAACATTTACCACGGACGGAACCTGGATTATGATTTTGTAGATATATTAAGCAAGATTACCATCGATGTGCAGTTTATAAGAAGTGGTCAGGTATAAACTGTAATTGATGTGGTTGAGTGGTGTGTTTGTGAAGCAGCAGTGTACTATTGTTCAGCTGCACAGGCTGTGGTATTTAATTTAGTAATGTGGTTCATGACCCAAATTCACTGAATTATCAGAATGCCACCATTCCTCTCTGGGAATGCGGGATGAGTGCTGTTTTGTTTTGTTTTTGTCTTTGTTTTTCTGGACTTCTAGTTAGGGGTGACAAATTGGAACAAATTAAACAGCATAATCTTGTGTCTCAAGATGATTATTTGGAAGGAGACGTAGAGAGAAGAAAATGCCAAGATTCTGAAAATGAATAAATACTAGTGAATATAGGAAATAGATTTTGGCAGAGATTTTTGACATTTTGGCAGGGAGAGATTCTAAGGTATTTTTCAAAGGCCTTCTTGATTGTCTTGATTAATTTAATTGCCAAAAATAAACTGTTTGCTAGTGCAGTCCTTGCTGGTGTGATTTTCTTAATATTCATTTGTACTTCTTGTAAACAGAATTCTTTCTTACTTGGCCACTTGCCAACTTGAGCAGTATTTTTATAGCAGTTGGTGATCATTAACAAATTAAATGCGGTGTATTTTGGTCCTCAGAGTCTTTTTATAACTTCCTTTGCAACATTTCCTACAGGGCAAAAGGTTTTAAAGAGGTTTTCAAAAGGATTCACGAAAGGCACAGGAAAAAGTATGCTATACTGTTTCAGAATGTTGCTTCTCTTTCGAAAAGTGCTCTGTTCCAGAACGCTGAAATACTCCGTGTCTCCTGGTTTCAGATAGCATATCGAGGCACTACGTTTCTTGGCTATGTCGGTTTATGGACTGGGCAAAGTCCTCACAAGTTCACAATCTCCGGTGATGAACGAGGTAAAAAAAGAAAATAAAAGCCTGCCTTCCACACTTGACTTTAGGTATGCGACTTCAGTTGATTTTTGCCTACTTCTGATCTTCTGCCGCATTCTCCCAGAAGTGAAAGCTCTATGAAGATTTTCAAGAAGGAAATGAAACTAAATAACTTCTCTGTCTCTTTGGATAAAAGCGTGCATGCTGCCAGAATTTGACAGCTGCAAAGGGAGAGAGGCATTTGTTTATCAGCACAGTATCATCTGAGTATGAAAAGCGTCAAAAGAGACAGAGAACCTTGAGAAGACAGTAAAAGACAAATACAGTTTGAGGCAGCAGAGTAGATGTAAAGAGAAAACAACAGCCACGTGTAGTGAATAAACTGCTGCTTTCCTATTTCTTTGTTCCTTCCTCTGTCTTCCAATTTTCTCTATCCCCTTAAGGCAGCTTGAAAGAAAGAGTGGGAAGAGAAGCATGAGACTGAGAGCCCTATATAAATTTGACTGTCACTATGAGTGGGAATTCTGATACGGAACACATACACCTTTTAGTTTCTGTTTCCTTTGTTGCTATTGCCTTGTTGTTCTCTAGATTATTTAATTGCTTACATTCCTGTTTTTAAGATTCTGCTTCTGATGCTAGCGTAGTTATTTGATTTTTTTCAGAACTGAACTATCCTGAGCTAATACTAAGAGATATGAACTGCTTATAATTTGTATTGAAATCACCTTGGAAGTAATATCTTCAGTTTGTAAATCCTTGCAAAAAGGTTGATTTAGAAAGATTTGCAGACCAAATTTTGTGGATGGGAACAACCTGGAGACAAAATCAGTGTCATCCTATTCTCCCTGCTTTATCTCTCAGCAATGTGCTTCACTATTCAGTGTAAGAATCGCTTGGGACCACAGTGAGATGGTTCAGTCAGTGGCCAAACCTATTCTGCAAACTTTTGTGAGAGAGGGACCCGTCTTGTCCATCAGGAACTGACGTGCTGATGTCTGCCTGCATGTCTGTTGCTTTTTAACTACAGGCAACAGTAATTCACTCAACTTATGCTAAACCTCTGCACATGACAGCTTGCTTTTCTATCTGTCACCATGCAATTGAAACAAGATTTAGGGAATTGAGTTTGTGAACTATGGCTGAAAAGGGAAATGAATTTAAGGTGCAGGTCTCAAGTGATAGGCATTGTTTCTGCTGGCTTTTTCTGATTTTTATGTACAAAGTTGACCTTCATTTTTCTAACTTTCTCGAGTAGCACATGATCAGTATCTATTAGCTATTTCTGTGTAATTCTTATTACTGTAAGAGTTCAGTAAGATGAAAATGAGATGATCTGTGCACATAAATTAACTGACAGATGTAGACTATCATATCATATGAACAGACTTACAATCTTTTTGGCCACGTATCTACAAAGTGCTGTTCCTTGTTACAGTAATTTTCAACTCTTCCTTGTTCAGTATTCAGCCGGGGGGGGAAGGGGGCTGGAAAAAAAGAAAAAAAAAACTGGTGAAAAATTGAGAAGCCAGGAAGTTATCAGCACTGGAAGGAATGCAGCAGTTTTGGATTGAAAGTGGCAAGTTCTGCAAAAAAAAAAAAAAAAAAAAATCACATTTTTGTGCAATTTTTTTTTTCCTGCAGTTTTTCAGTTCCGTTTAAGGCTGATGTTAGGTCCTCCGCTTCTCAATCATGTTTCCTACAGTGATTTTCTTGAGATCTTCTAAGTTAAGCAAAGAGCAGAAGGTCCATGCGCTGCTTACTGTGGCTTTCTTCAGCAGCTTGCTGTCTGTAGCCCTTTGCCAGATTCTTGGAACTAAAACTGCTGATGCCAATCCCAAAATCACTGTAGTTTTCTGCCTGGAAATGGGAATACTGATGGTAGCCTTGTAAGATAAATCTTTTAACTTCAGAGGATGATTTCTGATAGAAAACTCTCAGGTGGGGTGAGAGTTCTATTGCTCAGTAGCTTAAAAGGATTTCTAATGTAGTAGAGGGAAAGACTGTAGAGCTAGGGGTGGGATGTAAACAGAAAGGAAGACAGGAGCATAAATTTTACTGAGCGTAACTAGCATGGATGTGTAATAGTTTTTTCCTTTTTTCCTTTTTTTTCCCCTCATTTTTCCTTTCTTTTCTCTTTTTTTTTCCTCAGAGGGTGGTAGCTGGTGGGAAAATGCAATAGCTGCATTTCTGAATCGAAATTACCCCGTCAGCTGGCTTATCCGAGATGTAAGTGCATCTATGTTTTAGTCTGTTTTGTTTTCACAATGATGTTTCAACTTCTACAACTCCAAGTAAATTTGATTTCTCATCTACTGTTTTCATGGGAAATGCAATAAATGCAAAGTAAACATATTTTGGAAGTGCAAATAGATATTACCCCCAAATCAGAGCTCGCTGTTGAGTGGCAGGAGTTACATGTGTTATATAAAGCATGTTTTATGAATATTGCATTAGGTTACAGTCACAATAAAACACATCACCTTCTCAGATTTGTGAATTATAGCAAATTTGAGTTCTGTCTTGTAAGTGGCCTCCCTGCAGAATTGGGGTGTCTGTTGCAGACCTTATTTTTCATATTTTTTGAGTTGAAGATGCAAGTTGAAACTGATTGAGACTGCTAACTGTAGTGTTGCTGTCAGAAGTAATCAGTGGTTAAGAATGATAGCAATTGTTTTTGGACTTTTTTCACTTTTCCTCATATGCATACATATATGTGAGTTATATATGTATATTTACTTTTTCCTTTGTGTATTTGCAAAGATGGGAGAAATTATTTCAGTTGTGAGATGCACTCATTTCATGTTATGTTCTATTGGAAAGCTCTTTTCAAAGAAATATTTTCAAATGGCACTTTATAGTTCATTATAATTTGCAACAGTGCTAGGACTGTTTCATTTTTTTTTTTTAAGATGTCCCAGTGCTTAATTTTGTGCAAAAGTTTTAAATTTTTGACTGTGCTCCGTGATTTTTGTTTCATTGTGATTTCCTTTTTGCATCAGACCCTGAGCAGAGCAGAGGACTTTCAGTCAGCTGTTCTCAGACTAGCTGACATTCCCATCATTGCTGAAGTTTACTATATTGTAGGAGGCGTATCACCCAAAGAAGGCATGGTCATAACAAGAAATAGAAGAGGGCCAGCAGACCTCTGGCCTCTTGATCCTTTAAGTGGAGCGTAAGTAGAGAAAATGTTTTGTTATACCTTTTCCTACTCTCTCTGGAGTGATAGGTGAGGATAATGGGACAGCTTTTGGTGTAGATCGAGTTTCATCTCTTATCAGTGCTCACAGCTGAGCAGGGAAAGTTTGGGAGCCCCTGGAAAGAACTGTGATCCCTTCTTCTTGGGAAGGAATGACAGCACCATGTCAGGTTGGGACAAACAGAGCATTAAAGGTGGCAAAAGCTTCTGCATGCATTTGTTTTTACGTAGATTCTAAAGGGGACAAGAGCTGAGGGCTCATCCTGGATGTCTGTCTGCCAAGTATTGCATGATAAAACTCAGCATTCCCAAGTTAGTTTTCACCAGCATGATAGAAGAAATGAAGGCTCAAAAATAGTTGTTTCTATGAATTTTGTGAAGTTGGCAGCATAATATGAAAAGAAGATCTGCAGCAGCTGGCCTGCAGTGAAAAAATGGCACTTAATGACTGCTGTCAGGCAATATATATTGGCTCGGGTATGGCCGAATGGCCTGTTGGCTCTGTATTCTGCAAAATGAATGCTTCAGGCTGCATGCCCATAATCTTTTCTCCAATTATCTCTTTGAAGATCTAACCTTACTTTTGTTCCAGTTGGTAGTAGTTTTGCCACTAGCAGTTCAGTAACCACTCTTTCTGTGTGTGTGTGTGTTCAGAAACACAGAGAAGAGCTGTCTGAGAGAATTTTTTTTTTCCTTTTGGACATACAGAAATATTGATTCTTGGCTTTTATTAATTACCTGCTGATGCAATTTGTGTTTACTTTTATATTTGTATGTTACACCACAGATGGTTTCGTGTGGAGACAAACTATGACCATTGGACTACCCCTCCTCCTTGTGATGACAGAAGGTACAATTAGTTTGGAGCTCTGTAGTGAGATATCACTTTCATTTTTAAAAAGCTTGAAGACTTGGACGTTTTCTTCTCTGAGTATCCGTGAGCTTGCTAAGCAGGCAGTTAGTTCTGTTTCTCTAATGCCACTCAGATGGGAACAGGTAAGCTAAAGGGTGATAATAACTTATGCCAGAAGAAGGTCCATATGGCGCTGAATGGCTGCAAGGTGAGAAGTCTCAAGGATATACTGTGTATCAAAAATCTCTGTATAAAGCAAGATGTAGTAAAAATTACAGGATTTAGAATCATACTGAAAGTATTTGATAGTGCTATTAAGAGACTTGTTGATGTGATAAGGTCTTTAGGATGTGTCATATACAAAAAGCTGCTGGCAGATTCTCTATTCTGTATTCGTGGTGTAGTAACATAGTGACTTCAGCAATATGAGGCTACCTTCAGTCACGTGGAATTCTGGATTATTTTAGGCCAAAACGGATATTTTAAATTCGAGACATTCACTGGGGAAATTCTTCTCTATTTAATCCTCTATAGTTCTTTGCAACAGTGCATGGTATTTCATGACATTGCTCTATTTTCCCACAGAACACCAGCCATGAAAGCTCTCAATGCTACTGGACAGCAGAACATCAATTTAGATACACTCTTCCAGGTATTTCTTTTAAATTCTATACAGCATGTAGACTTTCACTTTAACTGCACTTCTACTTTGGAAGAATTTTCTTTGTTGTCAGAAGTTCAAAAGCCATGCAAGGAAGGGATGGTGAAAAGGATGTGCTGCACAGTCATCTTCAGAGAATTTAAGGCTGATTTATATTTTATATGTTAAAATGTTTCTGAACTCCACACATAGTCATTTCATAATAGAATGCTGTTGTAAGTTGAAAGGGTGAGAGATGAATCCCATCACCATCATCTCTGCAATTTCATTGTTCAGGCACAGTTATAAATATTACAGAGGACAGCTAAAGTGTTACGTAAGAATGAGATTTACCATTTAGTTTTGAGAATTTAAATGTTGTGTATTTCAGAGTTTTTATTAAAAAAAAACCTGAAATGATCTGATATTAAAAAACAGCGCTGAACAGCAAGAATACTTCTAGATTTTCCCAGTATATGGTTTCATAACTTCATCCTATGCTGTTTCTAAGTAGTCTTTTAATTACTTATTCATTTACCCAAATGACAACACTTCAAACTTTTTGTACAGGTACTGTCAGTGAAACCAGTCTTAAATAAGTAAGTATTAGCTTCAGAGATGTCAACCAGTACCTTCTAAGGAAGTTTCTGGCCTGATGCATTGTAGGATTTTCATGTACCTCTGCTTGAGTACCTTGTTGTTTCCCAGCTAGGATTTCTGCTTGTGTATGTGGTGCTGTGTCTTCACTTCCACAGAACTCTTCCTCTTTGGTCTGTCCCTTTCCAGCTATGAAATGGCACTTTGTTTGGCTTAGTCTGGTAACAGAAAGTTGCTTTGTAGCAGAGAAAAATCTGACCATTTAGGTGTTCAATCAGCAGTACTTTCTACAGTTCTTCTGGACAAGTCACTTGTGCCTTTGACTGCTGGAAATTTTAGATTTGTGGTAGCACTGGAAATATCTCCTTTTGGTGCTTCTAATGTAGCTCTGCTTGATGTGAGGAAAAACTGTTAAGTAGTAAATGGGTACATAGCTTTTAGGTACCTTTTTTATTTTTTTTTTTAATAGATTTACTTCTGTTTAACATTATGGTTCTGCATTGTTCTACAGATTGCACCTTTGCAGGTTATCCTTTTGTGTTATTTTTACATGGAACTCAGTACTTTCTCTAGGTCAGTCACTTGCATTAGAGCTTGGCAATGGCTTCTTCAAAGTCTCTTCCTCGCTTTTTTAACACTTCTGCATATTTATATGCAGAGTGTTTGTTCCGCTGAAATTTGTTCTGCTGCTTTGTTAGTTTTAGAAATGAATCATCTTGTCTGTAGAATGATTTTGACTCACTCATTTCTTCTTTTGCCTACCAGTAACACAGTGTATACTACAGTAATGAGTGCTGCATTTCCAGAGAAGTACCAGACATGGATCAGAACTACGAAGTGAGGAGGAGTAAATAACATGCTGGTATGCTTAGCTCCTTGTACTTCAATAAAAATTCCAGCTGACGAGTCATTGGGGGACAAAGCACTGCAACCATACTGAAGTGACCTAGTCTGAATTCCTGATTCCCTTGGTTTGCTTATTGATCTTGGTTAAATACCTTCCCTAGTTGATTTAGAGATAAGAGTTAAGTACTGACTTTCTTTGCAAAACCCTTTGAGATTACTATAGGAAAAGTACTTTTAATAAAGTAGAGAGGAAGGAGTGGCTGCCGGGGTAACCTACTGATAGTTGTTTGCTAAATGAAAGCTTTAAGTATTGTTTTTACCAGTTCTACTAGTGTGATACATTTGGTGTATCTTCAGGTGGCTAACTATGACAGGAAACCCTGCTAGTGGTGAGCTGAACCTGAGCAGGTGATGTTCAGCACTTGGCAAAAGCAAAGATTGAGTTTAATTTGTGTCAGCCTCTCACAGCCAACTGAACATCAGCATTCTTTGACATTTTTGTCCTGTCTACTTTCGGAAAAAGTCGAAGGGCTTCTGCTCATGCAGTGTCTCATGTGGTAGCTTTACTGTGTTCAAAGGAAGATATTAAGTTATGTATATTTCTTCCAAGAAACTCTGGTTGTGTGGACCTGGCAGGACCATAATAAGCTGCACTGCATTTCAGATGGATTTTTAAATGTTCATTGGTGTTATATTCATAGTAGTTATATCAGACATTAGATTTTAGCAAGACTATTTCTTTTACGGATTCTGAAGAGTTTGTTTCTTTCTACACACGTATACAGACGTGTGCTCTTATGTTTATCTGTCTATCTTTTTATTTCAGCAAACTGAATAGGAGAAAAGTAGAAGCTTTCCAAGACCAGCATATGCTTTTAAAAACACTCCCAAAAGCAGTACAGTTGTTTCAGATTACTAACTGGGCGAACCATTCAGGCAATAAAGACTTGTTAGTACTTTAAAGTGTTGCAGATGATACTGTTAATGAATTGTAATGGAAGTTTGATTTTATTTTAATTATATTGATGTTCTAGCAGATACTGATAGCTAAAATTTGCTATTATTGTTTTTGGGAAGAATTGTGCAATTTGAATATACTCACGTTCTGACCAATAAATAAAAAGTTGATCTATTTTGTGTGGAGTGTAGGTGTGGACACAGTGAAATAAAAATATGCGGCTGATTGCTTGATTTATGGAAACCTGTGGTGTTACTGCTAATGTCATCTATATCTGACTTGTATGGAGTCTGTGGTCATTAGCCCAGCAGCATCACTCAGTGCCCACAGTGAGCTGACATGGGTGCTGCGGAAGCTGGCAGACCAACAGGGTTGCTGCAGATCCTGAGACTGTCTCAGCCTTTGGCCATCCTGTCCTAATGTTGTCTGTAGACCTTGCTCAGCACAAAAATTACTGCATCAGTGCAAAGGAATGTGACTCTCCTCGGTGTGAATACTGCTGCAGGTATCTTTCCTCTTCGGCTGCAGTTCTCCAGTGCACAGGCTCTTCAGCTGTTATTCCCGGGCCTCTGAAAGGTGTCTGAGAGTCATGTAGTCACATGGAGGTTCCCAAGTGATTTGAAGAGTACTTGTCCTCTAGTAGTAGGTAAGGTATTGGATCATAGAGACTTTCAGTCTGTATAAGGAATAATTTTTTGGTGTAATGTAAGGAAATGGAGCTAGGAGTAGCTGTGTGCATAACCGTAGGCTACTGTGCTTTTACTTATCAGAAACTGGGAGTTGTTTAAAGAGATGTGATGATAAAGACTTCTGCTCCCTAATAGATGAGAGAAGCTTGTGCTGGAATAGCAAATGAGTTTAAGAAACGGTGTCATCAATGGAAACTTGACAACTCACTTTTTCTGGTGCAGACAGGTTTATTTCAGTCTGGTTATGCTATGACTGCATACTTTGAATTGAGGCACTTCCTGCAAACATCCAGAAATACAGAAGGATTTAGAGAGTTGAGACCGATGGATGCCTACATAAAGCTATTGGGGTACTGGATAAAACTGTGGTAAATGCCTGCAAGAATTTTATCTAGGCGACATTCTTGAATATGTGCACTTCATTTGCAGTGGTTGTACTCCAGTTATGCAAACTATTCCTGAGAGAGCATTCTGGAGATGTGGTCCCTTTATCTCCTTGCACTGACTCTGGCTGAGTGTCATAACCTACTTACCTGCATCCTCTACTTCTGCCTGGATAAATGCGTGCCAGCTTTGCCTTGACCCAGTTAGTACAGCGATGTTAGCAATTGTATACCAGAACTGATAAAAGCTGAAAAACAGGTGTTTCCCAGAGGAAGATGTAAATAACAGAGGCCAGGATATCTCCAAGATATCGAGATGGCAGTGCTTTAATTCACAGAGCAGTCCCTGACTCCTCATTCCAGCAGGTTTTCGTTATGTAACTGCCACCCACAAGCAAAGACGAAATGATCCTCACAGGTATAATTTTGCATAGTCTTCTTGACCTCAGCAGTGTTAGGCTGATTACCTTCTGGTAATGGCATGCTGGGATTCTCAGTGATTTATAAAATGATACCAATGTATTTGTTTAAATGTATACAAACAGATCAGAGTGTATAAATATTTGGGATCCGTGAATTTTCAGCAAAAGTTGTCCACTCCTGTGCATGTCTATCAGTTGTTCAGAAGTTGCTCAGGCTCACCCACGGCGCATGTTATTGGGGGAAAAAAAACAAGTGGAGTACAGGAGGCTAGATTTGGAGAAATGCAGTTTTACTTCTGTTCCTTTTGCTCTTTTAAAATATTTTCTGGAAGCTTTGTATTGTGTTTTATCACTGCATAATGTCCAGGCATCCTGACTGCCAACAAAATGAAGCTTTACTGAAAGTGTTTATTTACTGATTCCTCCAATCAGAAAGATTTACATAACTAGTTGAATTATATGCTAAAAAGATGAACAGTAAGTTTACAAGCCAGATGATTTAACCCATTAAATGTTTCAGGCTCTTTTTGTGTAAGAAGTGAAATCTTTTATAAAGAATGCAGAGAGACTGATTCTTATTTTATAGCTTAAAAAAAAAAACAAACAAACAAACAATGGTGGCTATGTAAGAAAACATTAAATGTAGCACTGGTTATTTCTGGTGGGTTTTGGTTCTTTGTGAGATCTGCTTGGTTTGTTCTTTAAAAGAAAGGAACACTTGTAGTTATTGGAATTGCTCACTGCTCATCCTTGTCTGACATTTCATCTGCTTTGTGTGCTGGCTTTTTAGAGAATGGGAAGTAAAACAGCTTTTCTGCTTTCTCAAGACCAGTTTTATGTCAGAATTGATAAGTAATAAATAAAAACTAAGTGGCATTACCCTTGCTTCCTCTGTTCTTTCATGTCTGCAGCCCAGGCTCCCTAGTTATAAAGCACCAAAATCTTTTCTGCTCAACATGGAGAACAGGTGAAATGTTTATTTCTTTTTCTTTGAGAAATTTGCACTTAACAAAAAGCATCTTGAAAGTGTGTAAGAGCTCATTCTTTAAGATGAGAGAGGCCAACCTACTGTCTTTCTCATTCCTAATCCTCCTCAGTAATCCTAATCCATTTCAGACCTGTAACCTTTCTTAAGCATCACATGGGAGAACGTTCTTAATGCTGCTCAGAACAACTGCAGTAAATAAATCGAAGGATCTGCGCTCCCTGCACAACAACACATGTGTTTTATTCTGCAGCTCTTGAAGGCAATGGCAGTTTCTTCTGCATGCCTAAGGGAAAAATTTAATTATTCAGATATCTGAGGAAGAGTTTCTGAATCTGTAATCAAGTAAATCAGAGACTACTGATCACTTTGTTACTGAATGGAGATTATATAAGCAGGAGGGGAAAAAAAAGTGGAGAGCAAGCTGCTTTTGTGCGTATTTTAGCAAGTCCTTAAGCTAGCAATTGGTGGCAAGGTAAGTTGTATTTTTCTTTTCTCTGTAACAGAGTTTTTTGTTCAGAAGTAGTCACTCGGCACCCATAGTTTGAGGTGAAATGTCCTTTTATATGTCAGGGTGTATAAATCTATGGTTGGGACTTTCTAAGTTCTCCTTTTTGGCTTTGCTGTACCTGTGCAGGTGCAGAGTTCAGCGCATATATAAATTAAATTGTTTCACCATCATGTTTCCAGCTATGAGCAGCGCCAAGTCTGATGTACACGTGGGACGTGAGTATTTAATCTAGGAGGGAAAGGAAGGATCATCACTTTCTCCAGTGCTAGTGACCGTTTTATTCTTGTGAAAATTATTTGACTTTATTTATTTTGTTGGTGGCTTCTAAGTGCCATGTTGATAAATTTTGTTTCACATCTTTCTTTCACTGTTTTCTTCCTAGCAAACTCTCTGTGAGCGCATTTTGTTTTCTTGTTGCCTTCCAGATTCTATTTACCTCTTCCCTCAGTCACCCAAATGTCTGTAAAATGTAGTAGTGGGGACTCAGTTGTGCATGGGATATGAAAAATGTGTAGTCTTAGTTAGGAAATGTGCTGCTTTGATGTTAGCTCCATGTGCTCCTTATCAGGAGGCTTTTGATTCACCGGGGAGGAGCCCCAAATTCTGCACAGATCTGTAGTCTGGACAAGCTCAGTGCTGTTACAGTGCATAGAATTTGATTCAAAATGATGTCACTTGCATTGGCTTTAAAATGATTAAATTAATACTTGCAAAAAACCCACTTGCAATAGGCTTTTGTTGTTGCTGTTTCGGACTGGTAATTTGTTCACGTTTTGTTTGTGGGGTTCTTTGGTAGTTTTTTCTTTAATTGAGACACGAGGATTTATGCAAGTTTTCCTTTATTTGCTTTTATGTGTTATTATATCATAGGGTAGTATTAAGTCATCAGCTTGTGGTGCAAAATCAAATATATTATCCCATGGCTTGTGAAATGCATGCGAAGTACAGCTGTTAGATAGTTCTGCCTTTCCAGTGCAGACCCAGGTGAATGGGAAATATGCATCTCCTCTTTGCATCTGATCTTCTGCTGTTCTATTAGTTGTCTACATCCATGTGCTGCTTTTCAGTCCATACGTTTTTTAATGTTTTAGTTGTGATGTAACTGCATACGTGAGGGCTCACCACCTGTTTTACTTAGCATGTGTTTGTTAGAGGATGATCATTGCAGCACTGCATCCCAGGGGAGAGTCACAAGCTGAAGGTAAATGAATGTAGTGCAGCTTCTCAAAAGAAGTGCAGGAAGCCTGTTTCAGAAGACTTCTGTGCACCAGACAAAACCTCAGCATCTCCACATGAGGGGAACAACAGGAAGAACAAGACAAGGAATATGGAGCCAACTGTCTCACATATGCATTGTTTTATCTCAAATACATACGTAATCTATATTTGAGGCAATGCCACTGTCATTGGGTATTTCAGCCTGCATTTTATGGGTCAACGTTTCTTTGAAACAGTTTTAGGTATAGGAAGGATGTATTTCACTGTGGGGTGGATGAGGAAAGATCACAGGTGCTGAGCAGTTGGGTTGACTTCATTTGTTCCTCACTCCTCCCACCCCTGAAGCAGGTTTCATTTCTTTGGATTCTCTGATTTATTGCATTGCACTCTTTTGCTTAGGCTGGGGCCCTCAGAAGAATCTAAGACAACAAAGTCAAAAAGTGGCTGGCTGCAGGAATTGCTTGGGAGAGACCTTTTAAACAAATAAGAGAACTAGGTAGGAGAACTCTACAGGCGCTCCTAATACTTGATCATCCCTCTGGATGGCCAGAACTTATCCTTAAAGTAGGATTGTGCAATAGCAAATGGTTGAGTTGGTTGTCTGGTTTCGCTGGAAAGGGAGGAAATAAGGAAGAGTTTTATTTTGTGTCTCCAACAGTGATCTCAAATTCAAGGTCATATTTGATCAAAACAGATACGTGGTACCCCTGAACACACTGTAGGTATTTACTTAAAATGTGTTTGTTGTTTTTTGGTTTTTTATATTTTTTTTTTAAACTGATCTGGCAGAGTTCTAGCTCCTAAAAAATGAATTTTTCTCATGCTGGTATTTTTAAAGGTATCTTTAAAGCATCCACCTTCCTTTGAGGCTGGCAGTGTCAGGTCCCTGAGGTGCAGCTAGGCACACAGGTTGTGTTGTCCTGCCCTGTGGAGGAACAGTTGGCCGCACTAGATGTCTTTCAGGGCTTTTTTTTTGGAACTGGCCTGAATCTGCTCCTGTGAATTAATTGCTCCCATTTAGTAGGCAGAGCATGTCCTCTGGTGTCATCTCATCTAAAAGGAACCCGTGCTGGGCTGTTTCAGATCGCCCTGCTGCATATACCAGAATGCAGTGAGTAGAGATGGTTGGAGATGTCTCTAGAATGAACCATTCTTTTGAGCTGTTAGAGGATATAGCTCATAATTGTTGAAATCTTCAGATGTGTCTCTTTGGGAAGGCATTTTTCTTTGAATATCCATACGGGAATTGTAAGTCTACACATAGAAATTCTGAGCTTGAAAATCTGTTTTTCCTGAAGTGGGATGTGCCATACAGGAGGAGACAAGGAATGGCCTTAATTGCTTGAGCTTTGGATTTTTTTGTGTGCACAATTGTCTGCTTAAGTAGTTAATAGTCTGAAAAGCTGTCAGAGCAACTGCGTTATGGAACGTAAATACTGTAAAGCATCAGATGTATTTGGACATAATTTGCAATGATTTCAGGCCACTTATGGCATTGATATTAAATAATGTTAAAGTAGAGTGAGTGATATTTTATTAGCAACATTGTGAAGTATTCTCCTGTTGCACCATCTGTACATCATGAAGTTGTGCAGTTCAGCGTTCTGGGCAGGACAGAAAACTTCAGTGTTTTATCCACCTAGAAACTTTCTGTGCTGACATTTAGTTCAGTATGGATCATCTCCCTGAGCAAGGAGTGCCCATGTACCTTACACAACACCGGATGTGTCCCTTCAATCAGCGTTTCTGCCCATCTGTGTAGCTATTTTGAGAGGAAAGGTGTGGGCTAGGTAGAAAGAGAGCGACTAGGCAAAAGGGCTGCAAGAAGTGAGAAAAGGAGAAGGGATTCTCCCTTCTCTAATGGGAAGAAGTGCCTCTGCAGTCCTACTGTTCTGGCCCTTCAGAAACCTTTGAGATGTGGTCTCCTGCTAGCACCAGGCCTAGCATTGATTAAGGTAATTTTTTCCTTCCTTTCCTTTCTCGGCTTTCTCCCCTGTACCCAGTTCTGGGTTAAAAAACAAACAAATACAACAAACAAAACAACAAAAAATGCCAAAACTTTAAAATTCTTTGTGATACAGCCTGGAACTACTGTAAATAGTAGCACGTGCAGTTTTATTTTTCCTATTTTCCCCTCCTCCCAGAGGAAATGTCTGACAGTGGAAGGCACCCTGATTGTCCTCAGTGAGAGGTTTCAGAATTTTGACCTGTTCTTGAAACAGGATGCTTTTGCTCTGAACAGAGCAAGCAGTGAGGTTAACACAAGTCTGGCTGTCCTGTCCCTTGATGCTGGCCAGGATCTGAGCAGTTGATGGCATCATACACCCCCGCACTCAAGCAGATCCGCGAGGTGAAGAAAAGCAGTTTTTATTTAACAAAGCTGATTATTTTCTTATGATAGCTAATTGTTATTTTAGACTTATCCCCCCTCGTGCTGTGGAACTGCAAATAGATTTAAATACCATGTGTGTTCATCCCTCATAACAAGAGTTATCCTTCACAGAAGGATTTATGCATGAATCTTTGCAGATACTGAAGAGCTGCCAAATCAACTTATTTACCAGTATAAAAAAATATTTTTCAGTATAAAAAAATATTTTTATATAAAAATCAGATCAGTATAAAAAAATATTTTTCTATGTGCTGTACAATATGCAGTCATGGAGTATTTTAGCACTTTTTGCCTTATTCAAGTGCTTTAGCTGTGCATGCGTGAGGGAAGAGGTATCACTAGGATTCAGAGCTGATGTCTGTTCTCAGAGCTCAATCATGCTGATTTTCTGGCAGCATTTGAAATGGAGGTTCACATCAAAGACAACCATATTGCTAAGAGTTTAGAAACCTAAAATTAAACATGTGGAACATTGTGTGAATACACAAATGCCTGATTTATCCATCTACTGTACAATTACAGTAACACACAAGAAGTGTCAGAATTACTTCTATTCATACAGCTGACTTGAAATTTGAAACAGTAAGATGGGAATCGTTGCTTCAGATAGTCTAAAAGACAACCAAGTAGCTGGAAATACATGTTAGCAGAAAAGATACTTTGGTACAAGACAGGACATCCGCTTGTTGATCTTAATAAGTGTTAATATATTTAATTATAGACTCAGCACTGTGGGACATGTTACAGCAGTTTGGATTCTGATCAAATGCTTTCCTGCACCTCCTGTGTGGTTTTGGTGATACTGGGCCAGACTGTGGCATTCTAGGAGTACCAGTTGGAAAACATGGGATCTGGTAGTTCTGTAAATGCCAACTACAAGTACTCTCTACAGAAGTCTGAAAATGGTGAGTGATTCTTTGAAATGTAACCTTTCCCTGTCTGTTCCTGCATGTGCTGCTGGAAGGTTGTGGTGGGATGTGTTTCACTTCCAGATTCTCATTTTTCTCGATAGTCCTGAGAGGAGGTTATGTCTTTCGGACATTCCTGTGATGAGGAATTTCAGATGTCATGCAGAAAGCCCACACTAGGTTTGAGGAAACATCAGCTGTTCAGATAATCAATACAAATCTGACCAGAAAGGAAGCAGCAAAAAGCCTTTCTGTTGGAACTAACGTCAGACAAACTAATCAATTTCTGGCTAATGCGTGTGTGTTGTAACCTCATGTGCTGTCAGGGTGATAGATTATGATAGCACACTGCTCCTTTTGCTGAACCTCCCGCTTAAAGACTATATTTGGGTGCAGAACTGATAAAGCAGCAACATTATCTCTAGCTATCTGCCTTTATTTCTGCAGTGTCTTATAAAGAAATCATACTCTGCTGGCACTTGCCATGCAGGAGACTTGGCAAGATTATTCTGGTACACAATTGCTTTGGTTATAAATGGTTTCAGAGAAAGAAGACAGTATTTGTTGACAGCTGATTTGTGAACTTTAGTGCTAGCATAAACAGGCATAATTGAGTTCAAGTGCTGCCACTTTGGCATGCTTTTCAGTTTACATGATGAGGTATGATTCCATTTACTACTTGGATCCTCATAAAATAGATTGTAATATTTCAAAGAATCTGTTTTTTGTTTATACATGTGGAGTCTTGACTACCAGTTTCTGCTCGGGATTCACTTGAAGGACACCTGACTGCTGCTGCAGTGTTTGGATATTGTATCCCCTGTTAAGGGAATGTAACGTGTTTAGAAGTTAGATATTTCAGAGTGATTGTGACTATGGCTTTGGCTGCATGCCAGCCAAATTGCTGCAGAGAGAATAAGGCAGCTGGTGTGGAGGCTGCTACAAAGGAGGCTTGAGGAGGTAGCACTGGGGGAGCGCAATCTACAGAAAAAACAGTCAGCCTTTTTTCATTTCCTCAGAGCCCAGCAGATCAGAAGGCACTTTTTCAGCCCAGGCAAAAACTAACACAAGTTATTCTTGAATTAAGGCTAACCAAATCTTACTTCCTTGTCCATGCCTACACTGTGACTCAGTTCCCCATCTGCACAACAGCAACAGCTCCTTCCTTGCCATGTTTTGCACCTCCTAATGGTTTTACAGTAGTATAAACTAGAAGGATTCTTACATTCAATACATAAGCCATCAGAATATCTTCAGGTAAAGGTCAAGAAGTGTTTCATGCTGAATTACATAGGAAGTTTACATTAATAATACAAGATAATTAATTGAATGTGTTGTCTGTGTCTCTTACCAGAACTTAGAAGCCTTTGGGGCAAGGGTGAGAGGTATCAGTCAAGATTTTCCACCCCGTGCACCCCATTGCTCTTCCTGCTCTGGTGAACACAGCACTGCTCTCACAGACCATGTGCCAAGTGAATGCAAGTTTCTGCAGCTGTGCTAACTGTAGTGTCTGTTTGATATGGGGGCCAGCTTCTAGGCAGAGCAGTGTTCTTCCCCTAGCTGAAGCTTGATACAAAGAAGCTCTGTTAGGAAACGCTTTAAATGCAGGGCTCTAAGTGAGAACAAGAAGGGACACAGAGCCTGATAAAAAGAGGTGCCAACTAGTAAAAGGCAATGTAAAGTAACCAGACAGTTCAAATAGTTCAAATAGTGGTAAGACCAGCTAAGGTGGATATAAGTGTTCCTAGAGAAGTACAATGTTTGGCTGCAGAATTCAGAGAAGTAAATGGGAAACTGTACCAGTGTACTTTGCTTTAAAGCACACACCCCAACTGAAATGATCTTGTAATGAAAATTGCTGGAATTGGAGACGTGCAGAGGAATTATGTGTTAAACACCAGGTAGAATGGCCATCGTTTGGAGGGAAGAGCCTGGTGGCAGTGTTGGCTGTGGATCGAACCATGGGTGCGAAAAACCCTGGCCTTTCATTCCTTCTGTCATTAAGCAGATGAAGGGCTGGTTTTCCCCTTTTCTTTATTTTACTTCAAGATAATGAAACATTAACATTTACACTAACACAGATCACTTCCTGATGTTTGACCATAAATGCAGAAGCTGAGGTATTTATTTGGCTTAAAGGAAGAGAGGTAAAAACCTTTTTTAGTTTTAAGGTTCTGGAAAGGGACTCAGTGCCTTGTTTTATTCTCCTACATTTTGCATGGTCTCAGTCAAGTGCCTGGCCCAAAGCCTAGACTGTAAGGAGGGACATGAAAATGATGACAGTAGATAGAAGGGATTCATCTGTCTGTTGACACTGAAGGATGTAAACAGACATGTAGACAACAGTAAATTCTTAACGTGCTGAAGATCTGGTAGTGATAGAAGTACTTCAGAGGTCTCTGGGCAGGGTAAGATCACCTCTTGAAATAGAGTGAAAAGATGTGGGTGTTCTGTTATACTTAATGTTTAGGCATCAGAACACCTTTTCTGAAAACTTCCTCCTGGAAGAGAAAGATCTCTCTTCAGCTGTGAAGGTCAGGAAAGGAGCATAGCAGGGTGGTATCTCAGCTGGTGCAGCAACTGAAGCTCAGCAGATTGCTCTGGTTTTGCTCCCTAGCTTTCAAGGCAGCTGTTCTGATCCAAAGGTGGTATCGGCGCCATGTTGCTCGCCTGGAAATGCGCCGACGGTGCACTTGGAGAATCTTTCAATCCATTGAGTACGCCTGTGAGCAGGATCAGATCAAGGTAAGGTGCCAAAGAAAGGAGCACACGGGGAAAATTCTCTCTCCGTGAGGATGAGCCAATGGCAAACTTTTTGTAAGGCAGGAATAGGCAGCTTCTTCCTGTGTGAGTGTGCAAGACATAGGATATCACAATTTCTAGGACACTGTAACCTATGAATCAGGAAAAACTTCTTTACAGAAAGGGTTGTTAAGCACTGGAATAGGCTCCCCATGGAGGTGGTTGAGTCACCATCCCTGAATGTGTTTAAAAACCCTTTGGATGTGGTGCTCAGGGACATAATTTAGTGGAGGGTTGATAGGGTAGTATGGTTAGGTTGTGGTTGGACTTGATGATCTTCAAGGTCTTTTCCAATCTGAGCAATTCTGTGATTCTATACATGGAGAGAAAAAAACATTTTCCTGAGGGTCTGCAGGAACTGCTTCTGTAAAAGTAGCTAGAGGTGAATGGAGCAGTCTGGGGAGGAAAGAACATCATTTATTAGGGAAGTAAAGTAATCTCCATGCATCAAGAATTTTACAACTTTGCATTAAATGTAGAGGGGGTTGTTATTTGTGGATATGGAATATTATTTGTTTGGGTTTTGGTTTTTACTTAGTAAACTCTGTCTCCTGTGGAACTAATTCTCTCTTCCCTCTTAGGGGAACGTTCCTGGCCTGCCATTATTAGTCATTCTGGTAGGCAGGGCCTCCTCTCTGAATTCTCTGCCATGAGGATGCTGGCTTTGCCACTTGTTTCTGGCTGCTGGCTGATAGCCCTGCAAGTGCTTCAGGGCTGAATTTCCTGCCTCCTTTTTACCTAAAGATTTCCCACCTGGTTGTGTGATATAACCCTAAGAAATTAGCCTTGAAACAAGCCCTAAGGAGCATTTAAAATCACAAGCCCTTTCCTGAGTCTGAATACAAGAGCCAATCCTCATTGGATTGCTTCGTTTAATTTTATTTAACATTCTCTTCTATCACTGCCTTTCTGCCAAGCAGGGAGAGTTCTTCCATGTGTATGGCTGAAGGGAAAGCTACTACTATTACTTCATTATAAGAAAAACAATACAGAACACATATAGCTTGATTTGTTGTACATGCCAGACAACATGACAAGGGCAAGGATGATACTTGCAAAAAGAAGATGATGTTAATGTGTCACTCTGTAGAATTTCCAGTGAGCGCTGGGGATATTCCAGAGCAAATTATGATGAGCTTTCTTCTTGCAGCTTCACAACTTCTTCAGTTACCTCATGGACAACTTCACACCAAGCAGCAGTAAAGAAAGTAAGTTTGTATGTGTCTTTTGGAGATCGGGCACCAGCAGCTCAGAAGACTGCACCCTGTCCAGTGCTGCCCTTGGGAAGAGCAAGGCGGGGGGAGAGGGGGCAAGGCATCAGGAAATTGCAGAGTGAATTATATGGAGGTTGTCAGAGCTGTGCAAGGGATGTGGAGCTTCCTACTTCTTAGGAGCTGGAAGGGGGAATAAAACCTTTGTATGTTTTCTAAGAACAGTATTAAAAATCTGCCTTCTTAAACCGTGGTAGCCAACACTTTGCAGAATCCATTTCTGAAGGTACAGAGAAGCTATATCTAGGGAACTGTGCTCCAGAGTATCAACGTTACTTACATTTAGGCTCTCATTGTCTGGGGAAAGAAGCGCAGTTGCAACTAGTACAGTATCTTTCTGAATCTGCAGTGAGCATTACATGTAATTTCCTAATGCTGAGAACTTGCTAAGGAACTTATGTCTGAAATCTGATGGTGCCATGTCAGAATTAGCTATTTACGTAACCTGCTGAAGCACTCATTCCTTCCTTTCAAGCTGGCACCCTTTTTTCTCAGTCACCCGATATGTCTTAAAGCAAAGCCCTGTCAAGGAAGGGACGTATTTTTTTCAGTGTCTATACAAAACGGCACAATAGTGCCCCATTGCTTGAGATGGGCTGTGACATCTTATGGCAATGAAAAAAAAACCATACATACTTATACAGATTTGGGATAATGCTGAGCATGTGAGTGGGTGCAGGCTTAGAAAAAAAGTGTGACATGAAACAGCTCATTATACAGTTGTGCTTGTCACTGAAAATACCACTTCATGTAACCATGGCAACCAGTACCCCGTTTTTGTAGAAACTGGTGTAGCTGCTAGCACTGTTTGATGCATAGCATACTTGACTGAACCTTGACCCTGTAGCCCCTTCCTCACTGCAAATTCTGTGGTGGTGTCAAACCAGGAGCTAGCCTCTGCTGCTGCACTAGCCTGAGCAACAGCTTGTCTTTATCAAAGTACAAGAATGGTGTATTGAGCCAAATTAACTTTTCCTCATCTCTTTCATTTTAAATAAACAATGAAACCAACCAATCTGCCATCCAGGGGATTTTATCAGTCGCATGTTCATAAGTGGAGAAAGCTTCAAAGAGGCAGAGCTGGAGAAGTACTGTGACTATGAATCCATGGAGGTGCCAGACTCCTACACTGGACCCCGTCTCTCTTTCCCACTCCTTCCTGACCATGCGACTGCCTTGCTGGAAGCTTTCAAACAAAAACAAGTAAGGATGCTGAAAGGAACCACGCTTCCCCCTTTTGCATACAGAGGTGTGGGACACCTGATTTGTGTTTGGGCTGCCCAGCAGCTAAGCTAATTTGAACACAGCAGCTGGCAGGCAGCTAAACCAAGGGGTAGAAATGATCTGGTAGGTATTTTAAAGTGCAACTTTTCCTTTCAGAAATACAGTTCTAACAAACTGCAAAATCTTTGTAGGTATGTGCCACTAATAACCTCTAGCTTCATTTTAATGGAAAAAAAAACCCATAGTAGTCCATGTTGAAACTTTTTCTTTTTCTTTTTTTTTTTTTTTTTTTTTTTTTTTTTTTGTTGCAATGCTTTTATTTGTTAAAAAAAAAAAAAAAAAAAAAAAAAAAAAGTATAGGATGGCCCAGGTGGAAAGAATTAATAAAAATTGTTTTTGCTGTGCATATTTGATTCATGAGATAAAAGTATACTTGAAATGAGGAAAGAAAAAAGTCTAAAACTGTTTGGACTTTTTGTTTGTTTGTTTTACAAAGAAGTCCAGTACCAATTCAGCAATTGTAACAAGAGAAATCCTTGTATAACTGCAGTGTTCTGTTCCCATCCCTCAGACAATGTGCTGAACAGCAAAATGTGTCAAAGCCTCCCTTACCCAAACAAAACAAGACTTCTAAAAACAAATTCTCTAAAGCCTGTTAAATGCTTTTTCAATGGCCTCCAGCAAACATACTTGTGCAGATCACATGGCAAAACCCGACTTAATGTGAAGAAAGCAAAGAAAAATGTAGAAGATAGCAGCTTCTTACCTGTGATACCAGTCTGGAATTTCTGCTGCTCCAGTGGATGGTGCTGCCTAGTGGATTGCATCCACCACAGGGTGTGAGGGCTTTTGGATATTGTTGCCACCTTTGCTGATGACAAGGTGAAGCTGCTTTTGCTTGGAATTTGTGTTGTTCTGTTTGCAAGCTGTGACTGTTGTCACAGTAAAAGTTGCATGAGTCTCCCATCCAGGCTATTGCAGAGGGCCCTTGGGGCCTTTGCAGACAGCTGTTACTGTTTGGCAGTCACTGATTTCCTGCTTTAATTCCTTCACTTTCTCCTAGTAGCAGCTCCACGCTCGCTATGTCTTAAACCTTCTACACGAGACCAGGAAGCACCTCAAGCAATTGCCAAACATCAGTCACGTCTCCACCTGCTACAGCGAGGAGGTCACCGTGTGTGGTACGTCTGAGCGGGAAAGCACTGCGCAGTCTTTGGGGAAGAATTCTTGGTGCAAGGGATGGCAAACATATGATTTGGTACCATATGACTGTGGAACATAAATGCAGTCCACATGTAAAATGTTGCGTTGAAAGGCAGCTGCAGCTTTCTCTGAACTGTCTGGGTTTACCATACCATGCTGTATTTGATCTGCAGCTTAGACTCTCCTGAACCTTGTAGGCAGCAAGATTCCGATATGGCCTGGTTTCAGCTTGGATTGGAACAGGAACCTTGAACCTTATGCCAAACCTTGAACTTCCTCCAGTATTTTAGCGGTCATTAATTTATAGAGGAGATACTTTATAGTAAGTTATTTATCTGTATATTTTTCAGTTAAAGGTAAACACATTGTGACTTGTCTTTTTGTGCCTGTTAGGAGACTTGCATGGCCAGCTGGATGACTTGTTCCTCATATTTTATAAGGTAAGCACCTTGTTTGGTGCGGGAGAGGCTGGCCAGACATTATGAGAGCTATCACATGGATCATGCTAAGAAGCATTTGCAAGTTGGGCCCTTAAGATCTAATTCTCCAGGTCAATTTAAATGGCTTTACAAAGCTAAAGCTCATTCCTTCACTGACTTTTAAATCTGTGAGAACTGCTGGAACATACAAATACATTTGGGAAGTGCCAGTGAATGGTTTTTTGGTGTTTTTTTTTTTTTTTCCTTCTTAAAGTCCTAATACCAATGGCACCACCTTCTGACTCCCTGTTTTCACTTTTCAGTGCATTTGTCACTGGGAGCCTAGAGGATAAAAATAAGTTAGGCTCTGTTCTATAAGGTAACTTGGGGCAGGAGTAAGAGGGCGTGCAGCTGGTGGGAAGGTATATGAGGATCATGGGGAAACCTTTCTTGTAACATAATTCCTGTCCTTACTTTTACAGAATGGCCTTCCTTCTCCTTCCAAGTCCTATGTGTTCAATGGGGACTTTGTAGATAGGGGCAAACAGTCCCTTGAGATACTCATCATCCTCTTTACCTTCCTTTTGATATATCCAAAAGAGGTTCATCTCAATCGTGGGAACCATGAAGACCACATGGTCAACTTACGGTATGAGTTCCTTGTGGGGCTAATGACAATGTCAAGGGTATTGCTGCAAAATCCCACTCAACTTCTGTTCTGTTCCTGCAGGTATGGTTTCACAAAGGAAGTCATGCAGAAATATAAGGTAGGCATGTGTTCGTGTCTTCTGCAGCAAGTGAAATGTGGACTTTGAAGGCCTGAGGCTTCATCTTTGCTTTTCTGCCTTGTCCTCCTAGTTGCATGGGAAGAAAATCTTGAAGATGATTCAGAATGTGTTCTGCTGGCTACCTCTGGCCACCCTGATTGATCAGAAAGTCCTTGTTATACATGGAGGTGTCTCTGATACTACTGATCTGGACATGCTTGAGAAAATCCAAAGGAATAAAGTATGTTTTATTTCCTGCATGTTGCAAGAGAAATCTGTGTTGCTGATTTGTGGTTTGAGAGCTTACACCTATATGTAAACTTGGCTGTTGACAAGAGAAATGTAAAGGATGGTCTTCGTAGTCAAAAAGTGTGTTTGTGTACGGTCTTGGAGCGCATTGATTTCATTTAATAGGGTGTGTGCAGGAGATGTGAAGGGAAGAAGTGTTATTGACTTCTGGAAGCTGAGAGTATCGTAGCCAGGTAAACGGTGGACAGTTACATTGTTACATGGGTGTGGTGGTATTGACAGTAATAACGCAGCAATGACAGGGTCTTGTCATCCCATAGGTCATTAGACTTTTTTTTTTTTCTTTTTCTAAGCACCATATTTCCAGAGGGATTGTGAGAAGTCATTTAATTTATCTGTGTTAAATGTGCTAGTTGAGAAAATACTACTTCCCTTCTCTAAATATAATGGCAAGCACTTGTATTAGTGATTTGTCTTTCCTTCATTCTTCTGTCTTGTTCCAAGTGCAGATTAACTCCATGCAATCTTTTATGAAATTTCTGAGCAGTGTAAAGTCGATGAAGAAGAGATGAATCCAGATTCAGGCTGTGTTTGTGGCCCCAGCTTTAAGCCAAGAATGGTACATCTGAGCAAGTGGCACTAATAACCTCCTACAATTAATCTCCATTTCATAGAAGCAAAACTAATTGAAGCTTAGTGGCCTTGGTTGCTTGACAGATTTGTTTGAAGATGTTAGAGCAAGAGATCCAGCTTTCCAAGCCATTTAACTATCTGTGCTTTCTCTCCTTCCTCTTGCAGTTTATTTCTGTATTGAGAGGGAAGAAAAGAAAAGAGTCAAACAGAAATGTGGAAATAAAGGAGATAAATGGGGAGAGCCAAGCAAAGCCTGATTCAGCAGGGAATGAGACAACGTCCAGCTTACCCTCACAGCCCCGACCAGCCCAGGCTCCCAGCATGGCCAACAGGGTGGAGTTCTCCAGGTGGGTCCGGCAGACGGTGCAGGAGCAAATCGAGTGGTGCCGCAAGTTGGTGGACATCAGCGATTCGGAGGAGGAGGAGCTCACTTGCTCCAGTTTGGTCTCCTTAACAGATTTGGATGGGCCGTGCTGGACTCGGCAAGAGGAGTGGAAGCAGGTGAGTGGTATAAGCAGGGCTCTGCTTTTGGTGCCTTCCACAGCTTTGTTCTCTGTTCCTTTGAGGAATCTTGCTATAAAATGTGTGGGTCAATGCACAGACCTCTTTGCAAAGAGATTTTTGCTGCTCTGCAAAGTAGAGTTAAGGAGCAAGTCAGTGCTGAAGTGCCATCAGAAGAGCGAATGGATTTTCTGCTGTTTTTTGACTAACTGCTCTGTTCTCTGCTCACTGGGGACATTTTGGTGGATTGTTGTACTATTTCCAGCGCGTCCTATGGCATAAATCACTAGCAAGTGAAGAGCTGTGCATGAGATTCCTGTAGAATGCAGGCTGTGTGACTGGTGCTTGCTGCTGTTCTGCCATTGCCTTTCTCCTAGCCCTGTATGTCAGCCTCTCCACTGGGTTTTTGGCTGTCTGCACTCTAGGCTCTGTTCCAGCATTTGTACCTAGCACAGCACTCTCCTGTTGTATAAATCAAACTGTTCAGGCACAGAGTGGGGTGACAGGTTTTTGTGATTCACTGCGGGGGAGATAAATGATAGGCAAGACTGATGATAGAGCCCAGTGTTTATATCACTTATAGTGTGTGCATGGGATATTTGAGGCCAATGCTATGAGTGAACACGTCGTTTGCTGACAAGGGAGTTGTGATCTTGGATACTAAGAACAGACTGATTCTCTGGTTTTACCCAAGCTGTACGTTGAGTACATTGCTCTCAGAGCCTGGGAACTTGATTTCCGCTTTCTGTTGGACCAGACTGTTTGGGAGACTTTTGCGTGCTATGAAACCGTTGTTCCTCACCACCCATCGCAGATGACATCCTGGTATTACACACCTTATCAGCGTAAAGCTGTATATTCAGGTCAGGGTTAAAGAGATTAAACTTTAATCCACGTAGTGGTCACTGAGTCAGCACTTACAGTAGTGAAGGCTGCTGAACATCTAGACTGTCATGCAAACGAGTTTAGTACTAAGCCCACTCTTGGTCTGGGGATCTGCTGGGTTACTTGTCCCGGGACATGTTTTGGGCTGCAGGAAGTCAGAAAAGTCTCCTTGAAATCCACCAAGAGCAAAGGGAAAGCTTGTATCAGGCCTTATTCATGGACCTCTCTCTTCCTCGGGCACTTTCGGCGTGGCTGCAGCTCTGGGCTAACAGTATCACCCCTTTTGTGGTGGCTCAGGGCTGTGACAGTCTTGCAGAGCAATATGGAGATTCAGCTGTGATTCAGGAAAGATCTCTGCGCTATGGTAGCAGCAGCAGTCCCAGCAGGGATGCAGAGATGGCGCTGTATTTGCTTAGTAAATGTCAATGGGTACACATCATTCAGTGAACTGTTCTGATTATTTCAGATTTTAGACATCCTCTGGAGTGACCCCATGCCTCAGGAGGGCTGCAGAGAAAATACGGTGCGAGGTGGTGGCTGCTATTTTGGGCCTGATGTGACGAGGAAGATCCTTGAGAAGTACAACCTGCAGTTCCTCATTCGCTCCCATGAGTGCAAGCAAGATGGCTATGAGTTCTGTCACAACCGGAAGGTTGGTGAGGGGGTGGTGGAAGGATGCTGGGGTTTCCATCCTGCTGTTGTCTCTGCTCTTCATTTCTTCCAGTGTTGTAGGTTGTTGGCTTGGTTTTGTTTTAGGTTTTTTTTTTTTCCGAAGTATATATAAAATGATTGAGCAGCCATATTAGGAGTTACTGAAATATGCTGCTAGCTGAGTAATTAGTTTGGGGCAGTCAGAAACAGTTTCTCTGTTGGGGAGAACCGTTACCCAGGTAAAGCACATTTCTCCGATGTGAGAAAAGACCTGAATTCATTTGTGCAATTGCCTGCAATTAAAGCAGTTTCTGAAAATTAAATACAAAAGAAGTGATAATAAGCTGCTGCCGTAAAGTTTTGCTCTTGGAAGTCTCAGAGCGACTTCAGTGGCCTCAGCTGAACTGCAGTGGAAGGTGGAAATTTGCTGGGAGAGGGCAGAGAAGCTGCAGAAGCTCAGCATATGGCCAGGTCGATGCAAGGCTGTTATCACCCCTGAGGAGCTCTCACCTCACTCTTTGCTTTCCCTGTGAAAATGTTTCTTTCATCATCTGTTGACTTCAGACAGGATTAATGCACTGTTTTCATGATACCTATATACATATAACAGAGGATGTACATTCTGACTGTAAATACCTTTCTTTAGGTACTGACCATATTTTCAGCCTCAAACTATTACGAGATTGGCAGCAACAGGGGAGCCTATGTGAAGCTGGGGCCAGACCTGGTGCCCCATTTTGTTCAGTACCAAGCAAACAAGACAGCCCACACCCTCACCATGACTCAAAGGCAAGGCTTTTGTTAATAAGAATTCACCAAGTCAAAATTCCCAAAGGGAAAACTTTGGGAGCTTTGAGAAAGTTTGGTTCCAAAGCTGAACTTTCATAGCTGAACGTTCTAAATCATAGCCCTAAGGGAGGTTCACAAGGGACAAGGAGGAAGCAATTAAGGAAGGTCAAAATAGGTACTGGCTGCTAATTTTCCAGCTTTTCTTTCCAATGTCATGTTTTAACTTTTGACCTTCCTGAAGTTCCTTTTCACTTTGTTACTTTACAAAACTGTACAGCTGCTAAAAATATATGTGGACTGGTGTGATAGAACAACTGAAACAAAAATATGTAAACAGAAACAGGTGTACCACAGTACCAACTGTGGAAGTTTGCTAGGATAGGTTGTTTTTCCCTGGACTTGTACTAATTGCTGACAGCTTATATAGGCAAGGACAGGTTTCTGTTGCTTTGGCAGGGGTTTACTGCATCAGCTGTGGGAAATACTGCTCTAGGTATGCAGTGCCTTGTTACGAACACTGCAGAGAAGCAGTAGCTGTGTAGGGCTGTTGTGTGAGGGTGTCAGCAATCCATGGACGTGCCAGAGGAGTGGGATGTGCAGCTTCCCTTGCACTTCATGGCATGTCCTTAAAATGCTTCTTTCTTCTCTGCATGCTTCAGAATCAGCAGAGTAGAGGAGTCAGCCTTCCGAGCCCTGCGGGAAAAGCTGTTTGCTCACACCTCTGCCCTCATCAGTGCATTCAAGCTGTACGATAAAGACAACACAGGTAAATCTGAGCCATGAGACACTGAGTTAATTCTCTGGTGGGATGAAGTGGAAGAGGTTAAGGTGAGTGCATGTCCGGTTGGGAGATTCTTCACTGACAGCTGTCACATCACAGGCTATGTCAGACCTTGCAACAATATTGGTCCCATTTGCTGTTATTCACTCTCTCTTCTGCTTTAATGCCTTATTGTTATGAGGGGGTGTTGGAAGAGAAGCGAGAGATGATGAGCTTAATGTGTGGCAGTTCAAACTTGGTGCAAGGAGAACCTTTTGCACCAGGAGTACTGAGAAAGCACTGTAAAAATGACCTGGAACACATCTGTCACTTGGCTGAGTGGTTTCTAAGCCTCTGCAATCCTAAAGTCTAAAATCTCTTTGAAGTCGAAATTGAAGAATCCCTTCTGAGCCAGCTACCACTGTCAGTCTTAAGGAGAGAGCTGTGAGTTCATAATACTCAGGCTGCTTTTGCACCAGTCAGGAGAATCAACCAAGCTGAGCGGATCTGTCTGTATGTGCCTTGGGGGAAACAGGGACATGGCAGTCAGCAGAACAGCCTTCCTGTTGGGTATTCCTGCCCAGGCTGTGAAATTGTTCCCACGAGTCCAGTTTAACTCTTAGAGCAACTGCTAAACTGGGAGCTTTTCTACATTCCTGGGTCACTGAGGAACTACTCATGTAGTTGTGCAGGCTACAAGCTGCAGGAAAGGACTGGATGCAGGTCACAGATTTGCAATGAAATACACAAAATTAAGTGTTCAGAGGTTTGCAGCTCCACACCCTAATTTGTTGCAGTAGTCAAAAGCTTGCTGAGGCTGGTGGGAGCAGAAAGCACTTGTACTGTGCAGTGGCTGCTGTAGGCAGATGTCTGTAAAACTGTGTAAGTCCTTTACATGAACTGAAGTGCTCACAGGTGCCATGGAGAAATGGAGCTGTCTCTGTCAGCAGCGCAGTAGGCTGGGTAAGCATGCTGTTGTAGGTTTTTTGCTTTGGTGGCAGGGAGAGCATTAACTGCTTTTGCTGTGTTACAGCTTCATGACCCTACTAGCTAGCAGGGCACCTTGAGCGTTTTGTTTGGTGCCAACTGTGTTGCAGTTTGGCATAATAGATCTTCTGGGGTTGGTTTCTAGCCCGGCCACATATAGCACCTGGGAGTGACAGCCTTTACATGTTTTCAGCCACTGGTTTCAGCGGTCCCCATGGCTTTCCCCTACAGGAAGGATCACGCTGAGCAACTGGGCAACAGCAGTGGAGTCAGTCTTGCACCTGGGACTGCCGTGGCGGATGTTGAGACCACAGTTGGTGCGCAGCACAGCAGATGGCATGCTGGAGTACAAGTCCTGGCTTGATGATTTGGCCATGGAGCAGAGGAGCCAAGAGGTAAGGCCTCACTCCCTTCTGTCAAAGCAGAGCAGCTCACAAGAGCTCAGTGCATTGGGCCAAGCATGGCAGGAAAGGCTAGGAGAGTGGATAATTCCTGTATAATCCAAAAGCATAATGAAGTCAACAAAGCACTTGCATGAATTTGGGTATTCTAGAGGTGCTTGTTCCATTGTAGAAATGGATGATATGTATGAGATAGAAGCCCAGAGCTAGTTTTGGATACAGGTTTTTGAATAGGAAAACTGTACTCCATTCTGTGATTCACAGCCTTCCTGATTGCATTCAGCAGAAACAACTGCAATGGTTATAGCTTGAGTCCCTTTCTCCTCTGTTGACTTGGGAAAGTGGTACAGTTGGAAGTGACAGGTTGATGGTGTGCTTTAATTCAGAGCTGCATAGAAAGCTCAGACATCATGAACTCACTTCATAACATATACACAGTGCAAAGTGCACTGCTGGCAAACTCCCAAGAGCCATAAACATTTTTAATTATGTGAAGATTTGCAGCTAGCGATCAGAGCAGAAATACAGACCTATTGAAAAGGGTAGAATGAGCATGACAATATGTTGTCTTTCAGCACATCCAGTCGAGCTTGCTGGAAGTTATCTATCGAAACAGATCCAACCTGGAGACCATATTCAGGATCATAGACAGAGATCATTCAGGTAAGGAGGTGTATAAGGTGTGTTGATCACTGCGTTACATTCCATTCTACTTTTGGTCTTCCTTTAGTATCTACTAAAGGATTCTGATTGAACAGTAAAGGGCATGTATTTTCCTTCCTGTATCAGCCTCAAGAGCTTCTATATTATCAATGCATATGTCCACAAATGAGGCGTTTCAAAGGAATTGTGCAGCTGATTTTCTTTTTCCGGAGGAGTTCAGCAGAAAAAATGGTTATGAGCGCAATGATAATAATGCAGCGTCTCTGGGTTCTGAGTTATCTCTCATGAGCAGCTATCTCCACCAAATCACATTAGGGAGGAGAACGGACAAGTCTTTCTCTTGTTCCCACACATTGTTTTATGTCTCTTTGCCACTTTTATTTTGTAGTTTATCCATTGTTCTCTGTGCTAGGAACTTTAGCTGCAGAATCTGAAAGTCACTTCCTTCCTTTAGGGTAGCAGGCAGTGAATCTGAGCAGGTGCTGGCAAGCCTTGTACTGAGGCAGCTGTGCCTCTTCTGCCTCACAGGTCTCATCTCATTTGAGGAGTTCCACCAAACCTGGAAGCTGTTCAGCTCCCACATGAACATTGAGCTCACAGACGATGGTATCAATGACTTAGTTCGCAGCATTGATTTCAATAAAGATGGAAACATTGACTTCAACGAGTTTCTAGAAGCCTTCCGCCTTGTCAAACAGTCCCAGCAGTGAGAACCCAGGGCAGGTCATCACATCCAATGCCTTGTCTGCAAAGCCAGGACTGCTTCCTACCTAACTGCAGAGCGTGCCCGCAGCTACAAACCAGAGGAAGGGAAGGCAGGTTCCTGATGCTCTTCATTGAAGACTGGGACCGCCCAGCCACCAGCTGTGATCCATTTGGGGAAGGTAATGATAAAATAGATAAGTTATACCTCAGTTATGACTGCATTGTAAAAGGAACTGTGTTATAAATAGAAAACTCTGCTCAAGGGAAGAGGCAAGTTAATTTCTCTCATCAATGCATGTCATGACATTTTACAAGTCTATTCAAGTTGAGTAAAATTAAAGTAAAGGTATTTCTTGGAGGGACTGCTTTACTAGCTAGCAATTGCTAGAGCACAGTCTTCCTTAATAATAAACTTTTTTCTAGATGCCTTGTTCAAAGCTGTTCATCATGCCTTCTCTAGATTTTCAGTTCTACTATAAACAGTACTATTTCTGTGACAACACCTATTTCTCCCATTGTTCCTTTGCTTCAGTAAGATATATCTACTAAAATATGAAGTGGAGCAATGCATAGAAAAAATAAACTACCATCATCTCGTATTTACTGAACAGTCTCTCCCACACGCTCTTAAATCTGCCAAGGGTACCCTTTTGATACTAACTACTCCCCAGCTAAAGCAATGCTGCTGTATGCTTGAGGTTGTTCAATTCTGAAGCATGATGCAACTGCAGCTTAAAAACCAATGGGGGAGCATTTAAATTTTTAAATAAAGTGTAAAGGAAACACAAACTCTCTTTCTCTCATACCTGCAGCAGAATCATTCTAGCAGGGGTGCTGTGGCCTTGGTAATCATCTTCTTGGGCTAATGAACAAAATTCTATTTCTAAGGTGAATTCTAAATGTGCTGTACAACCTTCTCCTTTAGGGAATTAGGTATTTTTGTTTCAGTTATTTTCTGTGGCTTGAGGCAACTCGAGGACAGAAAAAGTGGCTCTCCAGTGCCTCTAGTACCACTCTGCAGTACTTGGTACCAGGTAGGATCTAAGGGTATTGGATTTTAGTTTGGGGACTGAAGCTGTTAAGGAGTGCTGTGGCATCAAACTGAATAGCTTGTTACGTGCAGTGCCTAGAGGAAGTGAAATGCATTAACTTGGATTTGCTGGGAGCTTCACAGCTTTACTGACATAGCTGAAAAGGAGCCAACGTCATGCACACTTATTACAAAGTCAGACTGAATTTATTATTTTCCAGAAATTCAAAATAAAAAAAAAAGCAGAAGACAATATCTAGACACTGTTTTTAGCTGAGGGGCAGAAAAGCACTGTAAAATTCACATATGTAAACAGTCCAAAGGAAGGGCATACCCTGGAAATGCCCCAAAGAACTACCAGCATTACAAAGACCAACATAGTTCAGACATTTCTGTAAAGATTTAGATTAGCTCTTTACATAACATTACTCAGCTGTTTTGACAAAAACATGGAAGCAGCTAAGCTTCCACAAACCAAGTCACAAGTGGAACAATTCCCTCAGCACTGCATTTCTAAGACAACTCTGCTGTAATTAAAGAAAAAAAAAATGTACAATAGTACATATTGTTTTATAGTAAAACAGTATCTGAACAGATTCAGTTTTCTTTCTTTCTTTAAAGCGTATACAGCTTTACAAAATATAAACCTTCCAAAGGTCAAATTCAAAAGCTTAGAAGAGGCTTTGCAAATTCTAAAAAAAATAACAGCCAATACACCATTGCTCCTGAAAGATGCACATTTTATTTTACCTCACCAGTTTTGGCCTTGGAAGGTGAATGATAAACTCAAATAACATTCCACGTGAGCCCAGCAGAATCCTGCTCGTCAACTGAAGAAACCTCCTCTCATGGGAATGCTCTCATTCAACTCATGTTCTATCAGTTTGATGTCCTCCAAGTCATCTTTTATAATGCTAATTAGGTGACTCAGGCCTTCTTGCTGCTGCTTCAGATGCTGCAGGTAGTTTAAAAACCAGTGTGAGTGTTGTTTAACTTCACAGATTTTAAGTCAGATTTCTCAAAGTAGTCATATCTAGAAGCCTTAGCACATCAAAAAACATAGCAAATTACTTTGTAAAGAAGAAAAAACAACACTTTCAGCACTAACAGCTTAATTCTAGCTTTATACGACCTTGAAGCATTGCAGTTGAAAACAGGAAAAAGGAGTTTATCATCAAACAGCCACAAAATTCTAAATACATCTCCCAAATTATTGCCTCGCTGGCATAAATTAGGAAATGGAAAGTATCTCAGCAGTCAACCAGGTAATACATACTTGCTTTATTTCTCTTAAGAGGTCTGAATCTATGTAATAACGCTCTTCAGCCCTCACTGCTCCAAAGTGGTTTTGCATCCTGATTTGGGACATGAGCTCATTCAGTCTGCCCTATGAAAAGAGAAGAGAGAGACTTAAACTAAATGCTACTTATTTATATAGAATCATAGAATCCTTAGAGTTGGAAGGAATCTTTAAAGGCCCGTTACATCTGTCAGAGCACATGCATGGCTTGGAAAACTTTACACGTAGAGGAAAAGAACAGGGTCATCGGTCAAGTTCTGGGCAAAAATCTTTCAACTACTCACTCTGAACTGTGTTGGCGCGTTAAGTTCACACTGAATTATATCTAACTGTACACGAAGCTGTTCTTCATCTGCCTGAATGGCATAGCCACTTTTCCTTTGGATCTCTTGTTTTATTAACACCTGCAAAAGAAGCCTTTGAGGTTTGTTAGAGAATACTTTGCTCATCTCTTTCCCTACCAGCCCACCCCTTTCTCTTTCTGTTCTTCCACCGGTAACTCGCTCATGAGATTTATTTTGTCATTCCTTCTGCTGCTTTAAGACTTCACAGTAGTCCCACAGCTTCTGAATAAGCTTTCCCTGACAGCTCTGCACGTTAATTCCATTTACAGGAAGACAGAATTTCATTTTCAATATCAGCCGTGCACATGACTGCACAGGTCATCTGGGACCCCATCCCCTGTTGGTTTGCTTTCTGACACCTAACTGGTTGTCAGAATGAGTCACTTAACAATGCCCGTGTTACCTGTAACGTTCTGTGAGAAAGAGCCATCAGTTTCCTTTTGTACTGTGCAATTTTTGCCATAGTTGTAGTCTGGTTTTTCTGCAACTCACTGATATCTTCTGATATTATCTGCAGAGGATACAAATTACTTTGAAGTTGTACAAGTTTGTGATAACAGAGCACAGTAGTCCTAATTTGAAACCAGCTTGAAAATAGTACTCAGTTCAGCAACTGAAGGTCCTTGCAAAAGATGCTTTCAATAAGTTTTTTGCTGTTTGTTTTCATCTGCAAGTGGGATTTCCAGAAGGCATGAAAAATATGGCTATCCAAATTAAAAGTCTGAGTCAATGCAACTTAATTCAGCCATTTTGAAAAATCCAGGTTTGATTTAGCCTATAACAACACAGTAAACTTGAGCCTGAAAAACCAAAACCCAAAACGTACTTTTGGCCAAAGTATATAATTAAGTAATATATTATGGAACAGTGAGGTGAAAAAAAAGAAGTCACTACAATCCAATGCATGTTGTTCTACCTTCAGTTTTTTTAGCATACAGAAGAAATGCTCATTTTATAACAAATCCTTCAGCAGTAGCAAGTAATCATGATAAAACTAAGACAACTTACATCTAAGCGAGTTTGATGCTGTTTGGTCATCTGATCTTGGACCTTCAATCTTCTCAACAATTCCTTGAAACCCACCATGGGCACAGGAATAAGCCTATAAGTAAGTATTTAATACAAACGTGTTGTAAGAAATAATTAATGATTACAAGTGATCTTGGCTGTTGATAAATCAAGATTTAAAAAAAAAAAAAAAAAAAAGCAAAAGAAAGTTCTTCATCCTGACTCCTCTTTAAGCACCTGAATGAGTAAAGGAACTAGGGCAGCCATTTCTAGTTAACTTCATTTCTTCAAATTATATCAGCACTGGACAGAGTTGTCCTATAAAGGGTTTCTTACCAGTTACTGGAAGACTACTACACTATATTCTGCTTTTCTCCCCTCTTTCTAGGTACTTTTATAATAGTCAGACTATCAGACTTACTTGTCAGGATCAGGATTATCAACTTTGGCTTGCTCCCAAATAATAGGATCAACACCTAAAAAAAATAAATAAAATTATCTGACTAGATAATGTAAATAATGTATCTTACAGCTGTTACACATGTAAATTATTAGGAAATACACAAACCCCAAGAAGTATGCTTAATGACAGTTGTACAAACTAAGGTTAATCAAACAAGGGTAGCTCTTAAAATCTTGGTCTTGGGCTGGGTGCCAAAAGACACGTTCCTGCTGGCCTTAATGGGCAGGGAAGCAACGATCAACAATTGATCCAAGCAGACAGTCATACTTAAACAAGAAAAATTCCTTATTATTTCTGTAAACAAAGACTAACAAACTGTGCCCAACCACCATCCTTATGACACATCTCCAATGGTGAAGACCATCTTGCAACACAGTGCCCCCTTCCTTAGCGCTGCAGCAATGAAACTCTGCTGCTCATCCCCACCTGCAGCTTGGCTGTTCTGCCCAAGTACTTGCAATCCAGGTGTAACAACTGCTGTGTTTCAACACTGGTCCTAGCAAACACACTACACAGAAACTGTTACGTACCATGCACTGCTTTCCCTACCCACCACAGGGAGTTCACTGCAAGTGCCATACATAGCATTTCATTGATATGGAGCATATACTAAGATTATCTTGAGCAGCAAGCTAAAATGCTCATTTACTATCTGTAGCCATGTGACATACAGATATGGGCTAAGAGACACCACTTTCACCACTCAAAAAAAAAAAGCCAACAGCCGAGGAAGCAAAAAAAAGGCCATGATTATTCTGACATACAGCTTTTTAAAACAAACAGCACAAAACAACTTCCATCAGATAAGTCAAAGTAAGTGACAATGGCGGCCAAAATCACATATAGTCCATGGCTGTGTGGCATACCACTGAAAAATTCAGCTTTTGCACAAGTGTTTTAGCAGACTAGGTTGTACTTCAGCAGCTAAGCTAGCTTGTAATTAGAACAGGTCAGCACACCAGAATGCCTTCAAAACACCTGCAGCTTTAAATGGTGTTTTCCAGTGGGCTGACACCCGCATTTTTCCCAGAGAACCAATAAGCACCTGGCAGAGGCCTGACCGTGCCTGAGGAGCCCCTGACCACATACCAGCAGGGGGGTTTTGAAGGAGCTGTTTGACTTGGGCTGGGGAGAGCTCTGTTCTGGCCATGGAGAAGCTGACCCCCAGCTGCTGCAGGGATGATTTTATGTTGGCTTGTTCAAAGTGGGCGTAGAGGGTGGTTGCTGGAACTCTCCTTGAAGTGCCATTGGGTGAACGCTCAACAACATAAATGATCACTTCTGTCCTGAGCAAGACAAACACATAGTGTGAGACAAAGAAACAGTGTAGAGAGGCTAACTCAATGGAGAACAAACCTGAACTGAAGTTTGCTTTTCCATGTTGATGGTTAACTTTAGCTAACTGAGATATCAAGTGGAAATAAATCTACGGTTTAACACAGAGCAGCAGA